GATCACGTTGTCGATCGGCTTTAAAAACTAACGCTCCTCGTTTGATATGGCTTTCATTATTGAGAGGGATAATTCATCTCAAACAATATATTATTGAACGGTTTTAATATCGTAAACTATCAATGAGGGGCAATAGCTAGCACGAAAAGTGTGGAAGCGTCAGCATGACACCTTGTAGCAGGAGTGGGGGCATCAACATGAGCAGTAGAAGTAGTAGTGGTGATGATGGTTGTGGTGGTGGTGATAGCAGCAGCAGTAACTGGGCAGACACACGGGACTCGCGTTCGTTGGTTAGGTGAGCCGCGCGGGGGCAAGACATTGCTACCCAAAGGACATCTCCACACTAGTCTCCAACACACTCAAGGCTCTTTTCACAAATTTATCGACTCGTGATTTTTTTATGTTCAACAGGATATCGAAAACGATTCACATCCATGGATCGGCTTTTAACGCGCATTTATGTAAAATTCTGGTTGTTAAAAATGTTTCGTTAGTTAATCGAATGACTGTGGATACACAGAAATGTGAACCGATTCGCAAACAAACGCGAGCAGCAACAGCAAGATGGCAATGGTTTTAATCAAATGGATGCTGATGAGAAACCACATGATAGTTATTTGTGAAAAGATCCTGAATAAGTACAAAGTAAAAATTCTCCACTAACTCACTTAATAATAAGCATGGTAATGCACAGACAAGTGAATAAACAGGGATCGTGTGACAGACCGTGACAAGATAAATAAATGGGAGATATCCTTATTGAAGTGGCATAGCTCTCGATTTTTTGAGTACATCGGCAATCACTCTTACTCCACAACGGCATTGGAACTAATGTCATTACATCTATTCATGGAGAAAATTGGAAAGACTAAAAAACAGTGATACATACAAAACAAGACACTTTTCGTTGAGAAATTTTGAGATGCAGCAATAGCATTGGAGCATCCAGCTAATCTCTTTGATTATATAGCCTCTTCCTTGCACGAACACTCAGCTCAGATGGATAGGGTATATATTCATCAAGTGACAAAGAAATTGCTTATGATGACACCATCAGTCCTATAGCATGAATTGATAAAATTGGCGTTTAAATACGTACTAAAAAAGACAAAAAAAATTGCAGGTCATCAATGTAGGCGAACACAGTTCTAGTCTTGTGTGAAATAGTTAACTAAGGTTGAAGCAGCATCTGTGGGGAAGGTTTACATGCCTAACTTCCGTCACTACCGAGGCAAACAAAACCTATACTCTCAGCTATGGAAAGGAAATAACAATGTTTATTTCAATTTGTTACGTAGCTATTCACTTTTATTTATGAAATTTACATACAGAATCACATTCGTTGTTACAGCTGAACGTAACTAATAACCAATAAAATTGCAAGAATAATTTAACGGAGCCTTTCCATAGTGAGAACCTAAGTTTGAAAATGCGCGACGGAGTGTCAAAAGAGCAGCAATAAAACCTAAGCGCAATACGTATAAAGAAAGAAACACGGCAAGCCATTCATGTAATTTTATGGAAAACCCCAAAAAGGTGATGTGATTTAACAAATGAAGGTACTAGCAATAGCAACTAGCAAGTATATTATTATTGAAAGAACGCCCAAAAACTTAAGCCAATTAACACGAGGGCACCAGAGTGCAGTACTTAATAATTACACCTGAACCAGACAGTTAACTTGAGCAGCTAACTAGCAATAGCTAGAAAGAGCAGCAAAATGCATGCAGACAACCATTTCATTCCCAGACAAGTGAATATTATTAGGAAAGGTACAAAGTAACAGGTTAATTTCGGGAACTAAGAAGCTATTTCTACCTCAAAGATAAAAAAAAAAACGGGACAGCCGTCTCTGCTGCCTCTGTTTGAGCATGGTCAGTTTTTCAACTTGCGTTTGTCCGTAGGAAATTGGATTTTTTTTGACACTGATTTTATTTTATCGGATGTCCGCGACGCCTCGCAACCGTAAACGGACGAAGGCGGGTAGTGGACATTTACAAGTTACTTTACACGTTAAGTACAATATAACACATCTCAGAGCACTGAGGGACGATTGCAAGTCCACTTCATTCAGACTGATATGAACGAACTAAAAAATGATATATACTAAACGCATTCTAACTACGACTATCTTTTTACTTGACTTGCCGAAGATTTCGATGCTGCCGACCGACACCACTAATTGGTGCTCGCGCCGCACGAATGTAAGGTAGACTAGGTAGTTCTAGCTTTGAGCTTCACCTACCTCAAATGAAACGTGATCATCCATCTTTTCGAAGTTTACCAACATCGAGGACCATCATTGGATCTTTGGTTTAACGCAGCTTACTATACCATGTTTAAGTGTTACTCATAGTGCATATATTACTATTGGCCAAAATTTGAACAAACCTCACGAACTATCGGTGCCAGTTCGTCGGGACCCGAGTAAGATGGAAATCGGTTCGCGTTGAACGCCAGATGCCACGCCGATTTTTGTCGGTGGATGACTTTAGCACGATTTAATTAATCGCATTCTTTGCTTCACGACCGCAGACAGTTTAATGATCGGAAAATCCTTTGTCAAGCTTGCAGGATGATTTAAAATTAAAAATTGAAGTATTATTGCATACTTGCTAATTTGAGATTAACCAATAGTAGCAAGCCGACAAAGAATTTTTTTTAATGAGTGTACAATATTTAACTAAGTGTTTTTCACCTACCTCGACCATTTAAAATGTTGTACAGTAGCATTTGTGTTGAATGCAATGTTTTATTTCACAGCCAAGTCGTTAAAATAGGAGCCCAATGTCACGTCAGAAGCGACTCAGTCACGGAGCGAAGTAACTCCTCGTCAGCAGCGATACAATGCACACCAAGAATTATTCAACCTCCAGAATCCGGAATCAAAGTCAACTCCTCCTATAATTTCTGACTGTTCATCTTTCAAAAAAAGTTCTCCTATTAAATGACACTTGCATGACGAGAGCACTTCATTTTCATCGTGAACGATGAGTAAGGAGCTCAAAAGAAGGGTAACACGATACAAAATTATTGCAGCATGAGCTGCAAAGGTATTACAATTTAACTTTGATTATTCAAAGTCTTCGACACTGGGATGTAGTGAATTTACAATCAAATTTTTTTGGAAACACTAATTTGACATAGGTCTATCTACTAAACAAACGTGATTCGATGCCAAAAAATTAAAGGGAGATGAGAATTCTTCGTTAGCGGACAGTGGATATCTTCAATCAAACCCAATGGCGCTCTTCCCCTCAATAGAAGACGTTGATACCTGCCATGTTGATGCTACCTTGGAAATTGACGAATGGATCCCGCAGCTGATGTTGCCATGTTCGCCCATTCGGACGCCCTTGCACTCCGATCTTCACTCACAGATTTTCTCAGCCCCAAGTCTCATTACCACTTAAACTCGTCACACGACATCACAGCACCCATATCGTCACATCAACCTTCGCCCATTTCACTCTAGGAACCAAATTTTGACCTCTGTCTTAGAAACTGACCAGCCATTTCAGCGACGCGCTGCAACCAGTTGTAGCGAATTAACTATTTTAGAAAGACAGCCTTCATTCAAGGAAAATGTACCATTCTAATCAACACAGCACACAAAAGTTTCTTCGCACTAGCTTTTCAGTGAATTAAAATAATAATCGTTGATATATTAATTCATCACACAAATCCTCAAATTGACAACCTTTCAAAAAGAGAACCATCCAAAACAACGAAAACCTTTAGACATCTTCAAAATTATTCTTGACTAGCTGTCGAGTAATGGAAATAAGACAAGAACAAGACACAACGTTGAGTAAATGAACAGAAATGAGAACATAAATGCCGCTAGAATTTGGCCAGTCAGCTCATGGCATGGAAAGTTACTAACCAATTATTCGCAATAGCTCATAGGTTCAATGTGACTCAATCAGTGACAGTGATTCGGAGAAAAGTAAGCGGGCTAAGTAAGTAAACAGGGCACGAGAAGTGAAGCAGGATCGTAGCTTTCGGGAAAGTACTTCGACCAAGCACTATTATACATGATCTCGTACATTTCCTCGACAAGAGCGAAGCTGAAGGTTACAGAACGGTGACAGGCAGCGTTCCGTACGTTCGAGAGTGGATTACGGGATGTGTTACTGAACTCTCTGAAGTGCGTAAGTCTGAAAAAGAAAACTAGTAATTCGTTAAAACCGATCGTGATTCACGTTTTTGAGTGTAGTAAGTTTGGCCACGCAAAAATAGAAGTTTAAACACATGCCAGAAAAATATAAAAGCACAAGAAGTAACAGCATATAAGTTGGAAGCAAACATTCAGAGAAGGTAGGGTATTTGTACACAGAAATAACAGAATGTAAATAAAATTGTATCCGCCCTTGACTAAGCAACCTTCCAACCGAATGACAATTCGATAAAACAAAAGGACATCAAGAAACATTCGTCATTCACTTCTCGTATGTCACAAAACCTTAACCTATTCGTTTCTATTAAGAGGTACGTACTTGTCAAGGTCACACTAACACCAAGCTGTGATCGAAGGCGGATGTACGGGCTGGAGGTCTCGTCCTACTGGGAGTACGCAAGACGACGGCCATCTTGATTCTAGCTCTACATGGAGACTTCATATACCGAGATCCTTTTTAGTTCCATTGGCACGATTGAGCAAAGGACGGCTTCTCACCAAGTTAATCTAGGACTATACAGCCGGTTCTTTTTGGCTGACACTTCAACTTTCGTTAAATTCTATCAACTACGGACCTATTAGCGGTCGTTTGATAGTAAATCTGATGCTATCGATGAAAATGTTTTCAGGAGAATCTCGCACGCTTCACTACGATGTACGAATTCAGTTTCACTGACGACGGCGAGCGAGGCCAAGTAAGGAGTTCGTGCGAAAACAGGCATATTGAGCGCGACTGCATAACACTTAGAAAGGTGGCACAAATGAAACAAGAAGGGTTTGCAAACCCACATAAGATGGTAAGATAGCGTCTGCTCCCTACCTTGATGTGGTAAGAGTTGATCTTGTTGCGAGGTAGCGCATTGAAGCTGCAGAAGTTGGGCCGTCTCGCGAACATGCCTGTGTTGCCCACAACACTGCCGATGTTGCTAACCACCTTGCCTCCGATGATGCTGCCGCCGGATCCATGCCTAAAAAATAATAATTTTTTTCATTTGAAAATGTTCCAAATTCATTCTTGCACATGTTTGGTGAAAATATTAGTTGTAATAGCTTCATCATTAGGTTTAGAGATAGCTTATTATAATAAACAGACAGTATTATGTATTAGTGACAGGGTTGGCAATGATGAAATCAAAATGATTAAATCACTTGATTTATTTATAAAAAAAAATCATGATTTTTTTTATTTTTTCGATTTTTTTGATTTTTTTGATTTTTTCATATATTTAAAAATATTGAGTGGCAGTCCTCAATTTAAATTGAGGTATTGTTATTCATGGTTTAGTATAAATGTACTATGAATGACAAATTGGTCTATAAACTTGTTGCCTTTAGTGTGTGTTAGGTTCCAATAAATGGAATGTTTTTGGTACAGAGACATCAAGAGTGCATTACATTGTGCGTAGCTAGCAGCTTAGCTAATTCTTATAAGGCTATAAGTAGTCTAACTATTTGACTATTTGTTATATATTGATTACAATATACAATTTAAATGTGTTAGCTAGCTTATACAGGGTGGGACAGAACTGATTTTTTCTCATAACTTAAGTCTCGTTTCAAGTTGTATGAAGTTTGTTTGGTTATTGTTCATTTTATGTTTAGTATTGGTTTATTGGTCTGAATTAAATGGGAACAGTGCAGTCAGTCACTCAGTCACTACTAGTTGGTGTGTATAGAAGGTAGAGTCTGGTAGATTTATAGGACATAAAACTAGTAGATCTATTGATAGCGCTGTGCACTGTGCAATCAGCTACCTATCTGTTATGTGACTCTTCAATGTTTAGGAGATCTGCATTCCTGAAGTGTTTTTGTATATTGAAGCCAGTTAAATGGTCAATATTTAGCTCATTACCTTGCTCCATACAAACTTTACAAGGCTAATGAATAGACTTATCAGTAATTGTTTACCCAAAAATCCCTAAGTGGTAAACACCACCTTGGCCTGTTGGCCATTATTGGAGGCAATAAGTGCCCTTTTTAGCCATCCATTATGATCCATATACTGTTATTATTAGTACCGTAGGCTAATTGCAACATAAAAATAACACATCAAAAAAGACAAAAAAAGCTGAAAAAATAAAAAAAAAATCAAATAAATCAAAAAAATCATGAAAAATCAAAAAAAATCTTTGATTTTTTATTTTTTTTTATTTTTTTTTTTAAATCAAAAAAAATCACCAACCCTGAATTTAGTGATATCACATTCATAGCCTCCCAGAGTTATATGCTCCATCCGTGCAGCAAGCCTGACACCACCAAGGGGAAGGAGAGCTGCTTTAAACGCTTCCAATAGCAGTCTAAAAATAACAGCAGAGGATTCTTGCTCCGATTCATACATTTGAGAATCAATGCCGAAGTATCAACTCTGGGACAGCTGCCAACTAGTCTCTGAATGTTTCAGCATGCATGTATCACGATTAGGGTTCTAGTTCATTATATTACACTTGTGTAATGCATTCATTGGTACATCATAATATCAAGTAATTTCTTCAAAGCAGCACAGCCGTCAAATGTAAAGAAATGTATACACAATTTCAGAAATACTGCCCTTGATTTTGATATAGTACGACTAATAGTGAAAAATAAAAAAAGTTTCGCCCAAAACTTTCGTAAAGTCAAATTTCGACTAATGACCAATTTTGTTGTCATTAGTCGAAATATCGACTAATGAACATTTTCAACTTGAGTAAAAATAAAATTTGCGGCAAAAGAAATGTAAGTGAAACTTAAGCCATTTTGTTGAAGCAAAAGGCAAAAGGCAATTCATGACGTGATTATGCACCCCATGACCACGTTGGCAAAACCGCGTATTTGGTAAGCAATACCTGGCTGCTTGCCAAAACAAGGTTTGTCGCAAAACAAGGCGACTTTAAATCACCCAGCGCCACACGAAAATCGAGTCATTCTGACATTTCATGATACATGCTTGGAAGAACGAATATCATGCAGCCGATAGAACCCGAATGATCCTGCGCAGTGTCTTTGCCCGATCGCCTTAGTCTCAAGGAACCAATAATTATTGTTTCTTTTAGGCAGGCGCTGCAGAACTGGCACAGCATAGCACCATAGCAGTCTAGAAGTCCATGACAGTGAAATAAAGTTGAAATACACGGTAAATAACCATGAAATCATCACGGCTATCAACCGATTCGTTGCAAGCTACAAGTTTTAATTGGCAACATTTCATTGCAATAAAAAAACTTCTCAATGTTGACATTTCAAGATACTAAAAATTATTGTGCCTGAGGCTCTCAGCGGTAATTGGCGTCTTATACGTACAAGACGAGACGCAAAACCAGGCGAAATACACGTCCATGATGACCTTTCCAGATTTCGGGGCTACACTGACTGCTGACGTGTTTTACCTCAATCCTTCCTCTCAAGAAATCATGCTAACCTTTGGAAATCGTACGCCACTATCGAGTTCTGAAACTTTCGCGCTTGTCCTTTTCATGTATGCAATCGATGAATTTGGTCGCCATTAGGCACGGTCCGCACGAACTACAAAAAAATCTAAAACATCGGAGTTAAGAAGTAGAAGCGACTTTCTTGACCAGTAACGAGCTCTGTAATCATAATGGAACAACCCTTCAGCATATCAACTCCTGTCAAGGGCTATAAATATGTATCGATTTGATTTGATGACCCGCAATGTTGATATGAGTGAATCAAAGCGTTCAAATCTTTTAACGTAGGAGTTTGTTTCATCGAATGACTGGGACCACGCAACTGAATGAAAACTTATAAAGCGATTACGGTACTTCATTATTATAGGTCATGTTTTTTTCATGTGAATTGGAAAGGAAACGAATTTCAGGAGATTTTAAGACCAACAAGAAACTGACCATAATACTTGAAACATCAACTACACCACGCGCATTACGTTAAAATTTTTAAATTGAAAAAGTCGTTTGTTTTCAATGACATGATTAAATATATACTATAGTTAAGTACGCTTACAGAAGAACTGCGCACTAAAAGGAAGAACGAAAACAACAGTGGAAACCCGCATGGGCCTTCATCATGCGAGAAGACATACGACAAGTAGTCAAGTACACTGAGAACTTCAATAGAACAGCAACCGGCATTCCCGGTGGAACAATTCAGCTGCATAGCAATTGTTTCTGTGAGGTCTCAGTGCGAGTGCAACGCAGAGGCTGTACGATGGTAATCAGGGACTTCAAAACTCGAGACCAATTTCATGACGCCGATATTGAAATGTGTATAGGCGTACGAACCAAATAGACACGACAGGCTAATCGGCAATATATATTTCGATACCATACAACAAAGGTATTTGCAAAAATATAGCCATTCGTTAGTAAAATTTAACTATTTAATAACAATTAATTTTATTAATGAATTACTGAAAAAGCAGCTTAGTAAATGCAGCGAAAACAACCAAATAACTTCTTTGAATCCCTGGTTTTACGAATTTTCGTAATTGGTTAACATAGATAAAGTTAAGTGAACCAGATTATGTCTATAATTCTGATAAGTAAGAAGAATCAGACAAGTAAGTTTACTAGACAATGCAAGTCTAAGTAATGAGAGCCAATGAGGAGTCTGTAAAGGAGTGAACGAAGAACAGGCAAATACACAAGACTGCAGCAGCAGAGGTGAGTCAGAGGTCGCGGAGCAAGTCTAGCCGGTGCAGTGAAAGGAGAGACGTTGTAAGGTTGCCGCATCAGCTAGCGTCGTACCGCTGCAGCAACAGCGTCGTACCGCTGCAGCAACAGCGTTGAACCGCTGCAGCAACAGCGTTGAACCGCTGCAGCAACAGCGTTGAACCGCTGCAGCAACAGCGTTAAACCGCTGTTGCAACAGCGTTGAACCGCTGCTGCAACAGCGTTGAACCGCTGCTGCAACAGCGTTGAACCGCTGCTGCAACAGCGTTGAACCACTGCAGCAACAGCGTTGAACCGCTGCAGCAACAGCGTTAAACCGCTGCAGCAACAGCGTTGAACCGCTGCAGCAACAGCGTTGAACCGCTGCTGGAACGGCGTTGAACCGCTGCTGTAACAGCGTTGAGCCGCTGCTGCAACAGCGTTGAACCGCGGTCACAACAGCGTTGAACCGCTGCTGCAACAACGTTGAACCGCTGCTGCAACAACGTTGAACCGCTGCTGCAACAACGTTGAACCACTGCTGCAACAACGTTGAACCGCTGCTGCAACAGCGTTGAACCGCTGCTGCAACAGCGTTGAACCGCTGCTGCAACAGCATTGAACCGCTGCAGCAACAGCGTTGAACCGTTGCAGCAACAGCGTTGAACCGCTGCTGCAACAGCGTTGAACCGCTGCAGCAACAGCGTTGAACCGCTGCTGCAACAGCGTTGAACTGCTGCCGCAACAACGTATTACATCTGCTATTACAAAGTGCTTACACTCCAATTTCCTGGAACGCTATATTGATGAGACTTCCGCTTATACACGTACAGAAAAAAGGACTCGGTATGAAGTGAAAACGTCAACATTAAAATACATCTGGAGCAAACAGTAAGACCGACTCTAGTAAGCGCTGCAACAGTGCTGGGGTAATCCAGGTAAAAAGCTTCAGCTGATGATTCGAAGCGAGTCGCAAGTTTTAGTGAGCTCGTTTCGAATGGAATTTGGTTCTGCTTCGACATTTTTTTTATCGGAAACACAGTTTTAGCATGGACGCGAGATCTTACCACGATCAACATGATAGCGTTGACACTGCAGTCATACAATCAATTAAAGTGAAACAACTAAGTTATTCCGAATAAAAAGAAATAACTAAGTTATTCCGAATAAAAAAGTTAAGTGACACCGCTATTTTTATAACAAAAAGGCTGTAGTTGCAGCAGAAAATATCAAACTTTTAAGTGAATTGCAAATTTTTTCAATAAGTGTGATTTGGAATATCATAACGCAATGATTACGTTAAGGGTTAGATCTTCAAGGGATTATCTCCGGCAGTACTAAGGTTTGATGTTGAATTGATT